CAGCAGGAACTCTAAAAGCAGTAAGAATAGGAGATGGGATCCTTGACTTGAAACACCAAAGGACTTACCATTGTATCCTTCGAGGACAGAGTCAATAATAGGCCTTGCTGTTAAATTATAGACATCCAGCTGTTTGCTCTCTGGTCCAAACACGGTGTCAAACGTAAACGTCTTTGGAGGCTCGTTGGATGAGTCTGTTTTATGAACAGTTATAGTTCCTCTCATTTCATCCACGTGCACTGCCATCTTGTAGCCCATGGTTTTCTCTCGCTCGTTCAGGGGCCGACACCGAACCACCACCTTGACATTGTCACAGCTCTCTGGCTTGTCCAGCTTCTCAGGCCTGTTGATCTGTAATTATTTAAAAACACCACAGATGTTAACACTGCTGTTGACAGACAGGTGTGTCTAAGCACCAACGCTGTTAAATCAACTCCATTAGATGCACCACAGGATCATGAATGTGGGGACTTAAAGCCAGAGCTGGTTTATAATTAAAGCTGAGAGAATAAGGTGCACTTAGTGCCACCTGCTTCTGCTTGGTAACCTGGAAACTGATCTAGTAAAACCTGAGACTTCCACATTCAATCACTTAGAAAATGTAAAGCTGTATAATAAAACCTCACAACCCTTTTCTTTCACGAAGTAGTTACAGGCACAAGTTCTGAAGCACCACTGATTAATTTGATGTCACAAGCTTTTCTTGTCTAAACAAGTCTAAAACCCACCTAGCAATGCTCAAGACACTACCCTTGGTGACAGGCACTGCAGCTGAGCATGTAACTAGAATCACAGAACTGCTTGGGTTGGAAGGGACCTCTAAAGGTCATTTAGTCCAACTACCCTGCAGTGAGCAGGGACATCTTCAACAAGATTATGTTGCTCAGAGCCATGTCCAACTTGACCTTGAATGTTTCCAGGGATGAGGCATCTACCAGCTCTCTGGGAAATCTGTGCCAGTGTTTCACCACCCTCACTGTAAAAAATGTCCTCCTTGTATCTACCCTAAATCTCCCTTTCCAGTTCAAAACCATCACCCCTTGTCCTGTTGCAAGAGGCCCAGCTAAAAGTTTGTCTCTATCTTTCTTAAAAGTCCCCTCTAAGTACTTTTGAGGAACAACCCTGAATGTCCACAAGAACCAAACCCCCTCCCAGGCCCCTCTCCCACCAGCACCACCTGCCCAGACACCCCTCAGGCCCCAGCAGAGCCCAGAAGCAGCTTCTGTGGGTTGCTCCGGTGGA